TGGTGCTTGTTGCGTTAATGCTGCCAGAGCTGCTGGTGGGATTACTGGGATTTGCTGCTGCTGTGCGAGAGGGAGGAGTGAACGAGAACACCCTTTCTGCTCCACTTCCTGCCGCCTGAGCACTTTGGGGTCCGGGATGGCTGTCAGCTGAGTGGATGGTGTCCAGAGTCAAGCGTGGAGGGCGGCGAGACAGCAGGCCTTGTCCGGGTCTGATTTTAGATATGGGGCAGAGTTGAGGTGGGGGGTCTGGGAAGGAAAAGGTAGGGGCATTCGGCGCCTCTCCATCCCCACTGAGCCAGGGGAAAGCAGAGGAGGGCGGTTGGGGGACGTGGTTGGGAGTGTCCGGAGGCAGCATCTGTGAGCCCACCATTGTAGGAGCGAGGGAGCTGCAGCTGTGGTTCCACTCGTTCTGATTTCGCCGGGCGGGTCGAGGGCGCTGCGGTGTTGGGGGCACGCAGTGAATGGGAGTTTGTGGGCAGCTGTAGAACCCTGGTCGCTCATACAAGGGCATGGTGGAGAAGGCATAGTCTGGATCTCCCTCACGATTGAAAGGATGGCGGCTCTGACTCAGAGGCTCCTGGTGCAGGTACAGAGGGAAGCGGCTCTGTGGAGCTCCGGGGCGGCGGCGCAGCAGAGAGACCCGGGAGGAGCGAGGGAAGTTAGGAGACTGGACACCAAGGAGACGACCCAGCCCTCCGAGCAGCGGGGTGGAGTAGTTGGCTTCCTCGTGTTCTTTAATTTGCTCCAGATTGGACTGAAACTCCATATCCTCCTTAGGAACACTAGTTTAGATTACAAAGGGGGTTTGATGGTTAGGGAAGTCATTTCTATAAGTGTTTAAGAATTATCCCCCAAGAAATAGAAGCATTACTGAACCTGATGTCCAGGGCCGAGCCCATGAAGGAGGGTTTGCGATGTTCAGCACTGGCAGCAGTGTAGGGAGGCTGAGGTTCAGACTCATTCCAGTACATATCCCTCTCAACCAGCGGCAGGCTGTCGTACATCTCATCCACAGACAGCAAGGACACCTGAGAGAATACAGAAACCACAGCTAGTGCAAGAACAGGACAGCCTTAATATGTGGCTCGTGAAAGAGTGTGAAATAATTGGAATCCTAACCTGTAAATTGCGATCAACGAGCCAATTGGTTTCAAAGTCGTCATCGTCTTCACCAAAAGGATTTATGAGTTGCTCAGCCACCTGACACAATGAAAAGAAGAGACCATAATGCATCTCAGAAGGATTAAGAATAAATAAAATGCCTTGTGTTGCATCAGTTTGACTTAATCTTTACCTTCAGCCAACCAACATAGAAGAAAAACTGCAGCAGGGTGAAGACAGGCAGGTAGAAGTCCAGATCGTGACCTGAGTAACCCTGAGCCGGATCCAAGAACTGACGGCCAATCAGACAAGCCAGGAAGAAACTGTACACCGCCACTGTCACCACCTAGTCAGGGGTTATATGGGTTTGCATTGATTTGTTTTATTTCTGATTGTTGTCAGATTGCTATGATCAAACCAAGTTAATCCTTTCAGGTAAAGGATTATTAGTTGTTTTTAACACTTAATGATTCATAACACTGTAAAAACAAATCTGTTCTACCAAAAAGGTATCTACTTTATTTCAGTTACAGCTCAACAAACCTGAGTATAGACAAGAGGCAGGCTGATCCAGTCGTAGCCGTACAGCTTCATGCACTTTGCCCGTAAACTATTCAACTCCTGAAAAGAGAAGAAAAAGCAATATTATAAAACGTGAAGATGTTCAGGTTCCTTTAACCAGCAGAAATATAAAGACCTACAGTAAGAAGGGCTGTGAGTGCAACGTCGTTGTTGATGCGACCCTCAGTCCGAGCCCTCAGAGCCAGGCTGACAAACCACATGCAGGGAACCCAGAACTTGTTGTGAGGAGAGCGCAGTTCCTCCAGGTGCCTGAGCTCCTCCGACGTCATCAACCCTGAGAGGCACAAACACAACGAGTGAAGGAATGAAGCAAATAGAGAAAGCACTTAAGATGTTTGTTTCTGTTAGTCTGAACAGTACCTATAATTTAAGTTCCAAGCAGGGTTAGAAACAATCTTCCGATTATTAACTTAAGTAAACGTTGCAATTCCATTGTGTAAAAGTAATTAGTAGTACGTAGTAGCCTATAAAGTAAAAGTGCTCTTACTTATTTCAAAAGTATTCTTGAGGTACCTAAGGTAAAAATACTCGCAGATTGGTCCACAGAATATTGTGTGATATATTATTGGAATAAAGTAATTGATAGATTAATGTACGCATTACATAAGTGTTGCAGCTTGTAAATGTTGGGGCACATTGCTGCAATGTGTTATACTGCTGTGGTAGGGCTGCTCGATTATGGCAAAAATCATAATCTCGATTATTTGGGTCAATAATTGATATCACGATTATTAAAAAGGATTATTTACTTTGAAAACATCCATTTATTGAAAAAAAATGTTTTTAACAGTTGATTACCCTTAACTTTAATATTCAACTGAAAAACCAATAAAAACATTTTAATTTTATTTTTTAAATAAAAAAATAATAATAATCGTTTTATTTCAATTATGTTGTTTTCATAATCGTTGCAAGCCAAAATCGTAATTGCGATTAAAATATGATTAATGGAGCAGCCCTATGCTGTGGTGCATAATCTATGATGATATATCATATTTTATTTGTTGATAAAAATTATCTAGGAGGTAATCTAATCATCAAATGAATTTGCTGGAGTACACCTTCCTTTAAAGATTAGTGGAGTAGAAGTATAAAGTATCAGAAAATGTAAATACTCAGGCACCATGAGTACTTAGTTACTTACCTCCACTGTTTAGTGGTGAATATGTTTTAAACATTATTCATAACCTGTGACATGCCGGTCCACTTCCCACGGTTTCTTATTTTTAACAGTGCAAACATATCCTATAGATATGGGCGTGGTTGTGCTGCCATTAAACTGGCCAGACCAACAACATAGAGTTTAGTCGACTTCACCTCCCCCTACCTGCCTGCACCAGGTGCTCCATGGTGGGGAACCTCTTGTAGACGGCTGTGCTAACAGAGCGGTAGATCAGCACACCGGAGAGGTTGGCATATCGCATCAGAGTTCGTCGGGTCAGCCTTGAGGCCTCGTCGTCTCCACGAACATGGCCGCCCACTAATGCTGCCAGGCGGTCCGGCCAGGGGACGTTCTCAAACTGGCCCCACCAACGGGACACGACCAGGGTGACATAGAAACCTGACAACAAAATGTAAGATAGGTATTTCGAGCCCACCTTCTGTAAAGGTTTCCAGCAACACTGTTGTTCAGATTTATGCAGAAGAAAAAATGAGCCTCAACTCACCGAGCACAAAGGACACAGGGATGAGCTCTGCGTAGCGGTCACAGTATATTGAGAGCTTCTCGAACAGCCTCCTCTGGTCATCCTTTAACACAAACCTGGTGATGGAAACACTTTTTGAGTTCATTACAACTTTTAACTTCAGGTCACTCTTTATGAAGACAGGAGGACATGAATGTTTACTACTGATATCTCCTATAAGAGTACCTATAAACAATACTGAAGAAGTAGTAGAGGAGAGTGAAGATGATGAGCTCTCTGTAGAGCAGTTTGTAGACGCTGCCTTTCCATCGCAGGAGCAGGTGAAAGAAGGTCCCCAGACCTGCATCAGCAACCCTGCGCGAGTATGTGACGGTCATCGCTGCTGCTTTCTGCCCAACTTTCCGGCTGACTGTGTCGTGACATGAAGGAAACCAGTGGTGTTGTTCTTGTTGCTTCGCCTGAGCTCAATGTCAGCGGTCAACCTAGATCTCATAAGGCCTATTTAGTTAGATCTAAAATAATAAAGTAAAACAGCAGCATTAGATATGTTAAGTTCTCCACTTACTCTTCAATCCAACTGTTTGCACTCACCACATCAACTGAAACTGGTTACCGTTTTATACACCCTTAAATAACCATTTCACTTAAATGATCTTAATTAAGCTGATTCTTCTGAAGAGATGTTGACAGTGCTACAACAGGCAAAATACAATATCCAACAGTCTAAAACACAAAGCTGTGAATTTTTACTCACCGAACAATTTGAAATTGTCTGGCCATCGTTCTCACTGCGGCCCGAGATGTGTTGTGTCGGTTGGAATGATATTGATGAAAGGTAAGCAGGAAAGAAAAACAGAGCAAGGGACTCCTGCACCTCCGGTCACTTGACGTGTTAATCTGTTTGAGCAACAAAGCTGCATTGTGAGGCCGGGTATTGTTAATCTGAACAAATCTGAGGAAAGCACCCACACTGCCACAAATAGGGTGGTTAAAACATGACAAGGTTGTGATCAGATTAAGGAAAAATATTTCCATAAAAACAATGTATTCATAGCGTAGCTGTTATTTATCTCTTTTTTGCTGAACACATTTTAATATCAGTAAACACCAAGAGGGTTTGTTTGAAGCCTCATTAAGTATGCACTCATGGAAAACTCCTGATCAGGTGGGGTTGTGTCCTCCCCCTCTGCTGGAAGAAATGTGCACCGCTTGGCTCTGACTGAGCAGAAGGTGTTAGTGATTAACCCTTCCTGTCTAACCAGGAGACCAACAGCAGGGCGAAGTACGGACTCAATTTGATCCTTTTGTTCTTAAAGATGTATTTCTTTTCAGTTTTGACAGTTTTTTGATGCTCTATAACACTTTGAGATCAGTGTTGAACACTTTGGTGAGTATACTGTGTATTTTTCTGTCCTTATATCATCTTGGATTAAGTCTCCTTCACTCCACATGTGCGTGATACTTGCACGCTACTGTTCTTAACAAAGGCTGGTATGTTTACAATGGGATTTTAAGAATGAAATAAAATCCTTATGAGAACCTGCAAATATGAGAGCTTTTCTGGCTCTGCAGTTCTGCAAGTGAGGGAGGTGTGTAAGTTATTCAAACACTGTAGAGGTCATGACTTGTCCACTGATTACTGCAAGACTTTGAGGGAAGGTTTGTTTAGTGAAACTTATTTCGTTTTTAGGAGAATTAAAGCTGCATTTTTTAACTCTTTCTTTTCTCCATTGAAGTGGCTTAAAACCCAAAGGCACCAGGATCATTGAAAAATATAATAACAGACTTAAAGTAAATCCAGAGCAGATGTCTAGACGTTTCTGATGAGTTTCTACACTGCCTGAGAGAGAGAGAGACATGGATCATTTTGAGGGAGTTCACAGCGTCCAGATTTCCTCTTCTCCACCACCTTCAACAACAGCCAGCCCAGGATATGAAATCATCAAAGGGAAATCTGGAATATCTGTGTATTCCTCAACCGTGTTTTTCGGGAAACCTGATGTCCTGGGACAGCCAGCCGCCAGACACAAGTGCAGCAGGGACGCTGAGGAGATAGGATGTGTTGTTGGACGGTGAGTGACAAAGAAGATGAGTTTGATCTCACCAATATGCTTAAATATTATGGAAGCCCTGTAAGATGAGAAAGAAATGATGTTGACCCTTGTTCTGAGTCTGGTCCTTAATGGGATCCCCTCTGTCTATGGTCTAATCCCCTCTGTTTATGATTTAAAAATGGCTAAACAAAAGGTATTTCCAGGGGAATTTTTCTAAGTTCCTCACATATTTCTTTCCATCTGTTAAACAGGTGGAGAAACAGCTCTGCCAGGTTAAAAACAAAAGTATTTTTATATTGTCAGGATCATTTGTCTGTTATTCTAATTTTGTAGAACATCAATGCTTTTAGTCTTATTTAGATCATAGGATAGGAGGGCTTCTTGTGGTCCAAATGACTATCCTAACAAGAAACACTTAAAATAATGATCCCGACCAAAAGAAAGCTGCTAAAACTTAATCGTTCATTTCATTTTAAGTCATAATCACAGGAGACAAGACTTTTTAAAAAAAAATATTCAGTGCTAGATCATGAAGTGTTAGATTTTGCTCCCTACAGGTTAGCACAATGGCAGTAATGCCATTTGATAACATGTAAAGCCTTATTTTGTATTAAAGGCTTTTAGGCAAATGTAGTGAAAGGAAAGAAAGAAAGTGAAATCTATGCACCATATTTAGAGTGAGCGCATTAATGCAGGTTTGAGGTTTTAGGTCTGTGCGGGGTTAGACCAGGACTTGTTTTAATGTTGTGTTTTGCCTTTATTAGAGATTACGAGAGAGCTGACAGGAAATGAGGGAAAAGAAAGGTTGTACCTCTGTTTATATTTAGGGTAAAAAACACCCCTTCTTTAAAAACTAGACTAAACATTTATATTCAAAACAACAATTGTACAATACTGGCAGTGCACTTTGTTTAACAATCAATGGCATGAAGACACTATATCTGAAGAACATCATTTTGGCCAAATGTTTGAATGCCTTTGAAATAATGTGAAACTCTCAGGACTTTTTCAAAAATTGGTTTACCAATCTCGAATTTGATAGTATCGTTAAATAAGGATAAACCTTCTTGAAACAATGAGTTAGAATCTCAAAATCATGAGTTGTCTTAAAATATTGACTGTCTATAACCTACATTATTTCTAGACTCACATTTACTATTTGGAGATTCTTATTTAGTTGGCTATTTTGAGAAATGAATTCATCATTTTGAGAAAAGTAATCATATCCTATTTTTATATATAAGAGCATAAAAGCCCACGTCTTCTTTATATGTAAGAGCCTCTCATATTTCCACTAAGAGACAAACAGCTAACATAATGATGAGGTGTCAGTATAAGTCAAGTAACTGAGTTTTTGGTATGTGCTGATGTTAGCTTGGATCTGGGAGTGGATGCTCTGTCATGTGACCGCTGAGAAAGAGGCAGAAACTGGGAGCAGAGACAATCGTTTTTCTTGACTGGAAATAACGACACGGAAATGAGAAGAGACACAACAGAGAAGGACAAAGCTGCAAAAGTGATAACAAACTCGGTGTTACACTTTTAGATATTTATTGTTGTTCCCTGAGCTGCTGCTGCTGCTGTTGTTGTTGTTATTGTCTACGTCAGCGTCCGCATTCCTGCGCTGATTTAAAGCGGCTGAGATTACTTTCACTGAAACCAGCTATCGTTAGCTCCGTTAACGTCAATTATTTGTTCATTTAACACGAGAACAACCCTTGAAGGACCCTGGAGGGGACACACTTCAGAAAGGACGGGTGGGTTATATCTGCTCCCCGGACACTGACAGGGTAAGGGCGGATACTGAGGGGAAACCTCTCCCTGGTAAAAAGTTGTACCCGGGAGCTAACGACCAGCTAGCTGCAAGCTCGGGCTAATGTGTTGTAGTTTGTGAGCTTTGAGCATGAGTTTAATGGAAAAACTACACAACATTAAATCTAAATGTTGGGATTTCTAATGCAGATTTCACCACCAGCTGAGGTGACAGAAGTACTTAGATGTTGTGCCTAAGTAAAAGTAGAACTACCAGAGTGTAGGAATACTCTGTTCCAAGTAAAACTCCTGCAATCAAAAATGTTGCTCAAGTAAAATAACTAAAGTTTTGGCATCAACATACTTAAAGTACCGAAAGTAAAACCACTCATTATGCACATTGGCCAATTTCAGAATAGTATATCATGTTTTGATTCGAATTGGCCTACCGTGTAGGCTATGCTGTAGGGTAGATTGTGAATTTACTCCAGGTGTGACTAAAGTCTGATTTTAAGAGTTGATTATATTTCACATTAATGATTTATTATTATTAATCCAAATCTGCAAAGTAACTGAAGATATTAAATATATGTAGTGGAGTAAAAGTACACGATTTACCTCCAAATTGTGTTGGGGTAGAGGTACTTCAAAATGGTACTGTACTTGGGTAAATGTACCTAGTTACTATAAACCACTGTTGAGAGGTCTTTTACATTGTTAATGATAACACTTCCAGCTATAACTCAGTGAGAGAGTCACTAAGGAGAAAGACATTTTGATGTGGTCGGCTTCCATTCTGCTCTCTAAACTGAGCATTATTTGAAAACTAAAGTAGCAAACACTTTTGAATGATTTATATGAATGTTTAGCTAAATGTTTTTAACTATCAACTGAATGTATATTGGTATTAGTTATCAATATTTGTATGATGACCTCACTATGTGATCCATACTACCTACTCATATGAAAATGATGCTTATGATGCTAATGATACTGAAAAAGGTTTTTATTTGTAAACGACAATGAACAGTATTTCACATTGATGCTGCAGTTCAATGTTTTGCAGCAGTTATCTCAGAAGTTGACTTTCATCTGCAGCCCTTTGCAGTCACAACGAAAGCATATACACAAAGCAAACAGGACAATCAAATTGAAGTGTAATAAGTCCTAATTTATATATATTTATATAGCAATCAAGGAGTGGATATGAAAAATGATTGTTCCCTCAATAACAATGAGTATATGTCTGTTTGTGTGAAGGTTGGTAGATCTGGATCCAGATCCAAAGTCCAGAGTGGAGGGAGGAGGCTCGGCTGGGCCNTTCAATGTTTTGCAGCAGTTATCTCAGAAGTTGACTTTCATCTGCAGCCCTTTGCAGTCACAACGAAAGCATATACAGAAAGCAAACAGGACAATCAAATTGAAGTGTAATAAGTCCTAATTTATCATCACATCAACCTCTTCATTCCATACTGTCTTTATAGCAATCAAGGAGTGGATATGAAAAATGATTGTTCCCTCAATAACAATGAGTATATGTCTGTTTGTGTGAAGGTTGGTAGATCTGGATCCAGATCCAAAGTCCAGAGTGGAGGGAGGAGGCTCGGCTGGGCCCCCTTCATCCAGAGCCCATGGCGTCCTCTCCCGGCATCGCAGCTCGTCGCTGGAGATCAAAGAAAAAGAAATCAGAGAAAAGGGCTCTGAGATCCTCACGGAACAGCTGGACGCTGCAAAGAAGGTGTTGTAACCTATTTTCTAGTATCGCACACACATGAAGCATTGTGTAACCTGAAAAAAAGTTGACGATGCAAATGTCCTTCCTTGTTAAATGTGGTTGTGACATTTTCTCTTTCACATTCAGGAACTGAAACTAAAGGACAAGGAGTGTGAGCGTCTGTCGCGGGTCAGGAATCAGCTGGAGCAGGAGCTGGAGGAGCTGACTGCCAGTCTGTTCGAGGTAACGACAACAGATGTTCTCTGCTGACTGCACTGTCATTTAGACTTTGTATGATGTCCTTTTGTTGTTCTGTTGTTTATGTTTGTATGTCTTCATGTGGAACCTACTGCTGCAGGTCTGCCTTGAAAAAGAGATGATTGATCTCAATGGGATTTCTCCTGGATAAATAAAGGAATTGAATTGAGACTATGGTGATCCGGGAAGTAACAATGCTTTGCAGCACTGCAAGACTTTAGATTCATAATTTGCATTTCAGTGAAAATTGATCTAACAGGAACACATGGTTGTATTATGTGTCACGTAGTGTCATGTGAAAGGGGTTGCTCGTGATGACAAAGCAAAAACCTCCAAAAACTGCAGTTCATCATAAGGCCACTAGAAGCTGGACCCAAAAGACCTCAGTATTAAATTGCCCAGCTGATTGGAGATTTCCGACTTCTTAAAAACCACAGCATAGATGGACACCACTTGTGTAACTATGACCATTTCCATCCTTACAGGAAGCTCACAAGATGGTGAATGAAGCTAACGTCAAACAAGCAGGAGCGGAGAAACAACTGAAGGAGGCTCAGGGAAAGGTGTGTGATGTTTTTGTGACTCTGTGTAACATTCGAATTCCCTCCCCTTATTGATTTTCTTCCCATCATCAGACTTTTGTCTCTTTAACTTTTTTTTCTCTGTACATTTTCTGTCTTCCAGATTGACGTTCTTCAGGCAGAGGTGACAGCGCTCAAGACTCTTGTGTTGACATCAACACCTTCTTCCCCAAACCGCCAGCTGCATCCTCAGCTGCAGGCGTCGGGAGCGAGGGGGGGGTACAGACACGTCGGGGGCCACGTCCGCAACAAAAGCGCAAGCGGGGTCTTTCCATCTGTACCTGGAAAACAAGAAAACACCTCGCTTTCCATTCAGCCTGCGGCCAAAGAGGACAGAGAGGTAACCGCATTGAGGTTGTAAATGTCCCTCTTGTCTCCTTTGGCCTTTCTCTGTTTCTACCTTCCTGTTTCCAGTCACTTGTATCTTAAGTTCTCTTCTTTTCCTTTCCCTCAGTACTAACCTCTCCCTGACTTGCTCTTCCTCTCTGTCTCTGATGTCTCTTCGTCTCTCAGCCCGCTGTTCCTGCTCTCCTTTCTCTGATTCTCTGCCTGGTTCCTGGCCAGTCTGTCAATGTGACCTTTGACCGGTACTGGCAGGAGCGGGGGGAGGGGCTGTGCACTGACAGCAGACAGGTAACTGCCCTACCTCAACCAGCTGCATGACGTCTTTTCCATAACTGTGCTTTCATGCTTTTATGGGACAATGAGCGTGTCATTCCTTCCTTATTGTTAAAGTGACACAAATACGCTGTATCTCTTCGGTAAAATCTTTATCAGTCTGAGAGCATCAGACGTCTAAAGTTGTCCAGAAAGACATAACAAATGAAATGTGTTGCTTCTAAATCCAATGTTTCTGAAGGATATGGACCCTTATATTTGAAAGCACAGTTTTCTAGCTAAGTGTTATTGTTTGAATTTGTTAGCCATTTGCCCATTTCCTTTTTAAAGTACAAGTGCAACTAATGATTTATTCACAAAACAATTCTGGTTGTGGAAAAAGCTGACATTTGTATTTCGAGAGTAACAATTTTAGGACATATTCCCTTTTTTTTAAATAATTTTCACATAAGTAATTGGATGACACATTCGACTGTGAAAAATAGGTTGTGAAAGTACGCAGCAAGAAACAAAGCGTCATAAGATTAATGGAGGGGCTGGTAGAAAAAGTGAATTCTTAGCACCTTTCGTCTCTTTCACTTCTTTAAAATCCTTACCCAGCTTTCTGTGTTTTCTCATGATTCTTAACCATGGTTTGCTCTAGTGATCGCCACATTTAATTCCAATGAATGCAATAGTTGTTGAGATGTTTTCAGTTTTGCTAACTTTTCCTCTGGTGCTAGCATCAGGTAAATGTTTTCACTTATCCTGTAAATATGTTTCCACATCTACTTAATGGTTTGTCTTCGTTAATCTCTTCATTCCTGACTGAGGACATTCCCATTAACCACAGCTTTACTCATGTTCAGTGCTTATTAGCAAATATAACCAATGTATCATGCTAGGCTCTAAACCTGGTTAACATTATGAATGATCAACTTTAGCATGACTTCATTAGCATTGATCTCAAAGCACCTCTAGCCTCAGTGCATCCTCACAGAGCTCGTCTGCATGCTGTCTTGTTGTTGCTCTTATGTCTTTTTAGAGTTGTGTTGAGTGACTTTCCTTAATGGTGTTGTTTTAGATTTATTTTTTGGTGAAGCCCAAAACGTTTTTGGACAATCCATTTTCCAGATCTTTCTAATGTTTATCGATCAAAATAGTTATTGAATGATATTTGGAAATGTGCTGGGACGTCTTGCTCTGTCATTTCTGGACTTTCCAAATCACCTCTTTAGTGTTTTTGCACAATATTATATGTATTGTAATAGCAAGCCAGTTTACTTGTATCTGGGTTATGTAGGGTTGGGAGAAAGGTATGGGCTCAGAACAGTCTCAAAAATACATACAATACAGGATCAAAAATACATATGTAAAACTTTTTTCTGTATTTGGATTGTATTTACATGTATATGAAACGGAACACATTTGTGTGTGCATTGAAAAACACAAGTGTGGATCCGTGTGTATTATGAGACTGTTCTGAGCCCATAGAAAGGGGGTATCACTTCCTATAGTTGACACATACACAATTTAATAAGTCATGGATTCTTCTTGCAGATGGACTCCGTTCTGTATGCAGAGTTTTTGATGTGGAAGGAGAACCTGAGTGCGGAGCGTTCCTCTGCCTTCTTGAGTCGAGTCTACAGAGAAGACATCGGACCCTGCCTCTCCTTCACAAAGTCTGAGGTCAGCATCTCACCGCTTCTTTACATGAACACTTTGCTGTGTGTGCTGTATTTTAGTGTCTGAAGTTATTGATTCCTGTTGTCCACAGCTGTCACAGCTGGTGCAGAGCGCAGTGGAAAACAACTCTTTGACCATCGAGCCGGTGGCCATGTCAGCGTTACCCATGGTTAAAGCCTCTGCTGTCGAGTGCGGCGGCCCAAAGTGAGTTCAGTCTGTTCTTATCATCTACCATCCCATCCTCTCTAAACAAGTCAACCCTGATGATAATCCATCCTTCTTTGGTTTTGTAATGTCCTCTGATGATTAGAGGTCATAGCTGAAGGTATCTTAGGAGGGGTTCCTAATCACTGTCTGATTAAAAAAAATCTTTAATTTTTTTTCTTCCAGTGGCTTTAGAGCAGCAATAGAGACGTAAGTCCTCTCAGGAGCAATCAGCTGTTCAGCTTTTCACTAACACAAAGAACTGAAGCATGAAATTAATTCTGTCTTTCCATACGTCGGAAAAGTTGTAAAGAAATCTGTAACTTAACCAGTTCTGCATGCCTCTTGTTTCTCTTCCAGCGACTAACTTTCTCTGAGTGTGCACTAATATTTGTTGCCATCCACTACTAAATCATTTTGCACTTGGACTGTGTTCTCACATTGAATTGTTGATAATACCCGATGAGATGTATCTTACTGTGATAAAACATGACTGTGTGTCTCCAGGTCTCTTTCATGTTCTGACAGCCTGTGTTTCTGTCTGTAGAAAATGTGCATTGAGCGGCATGTCGCGCCTCTGCAGACATCGCATTCAACTTGGTGATAAAGGGAGCTACTATTGCATCTCTCCCTCCAGCCGAGCACGGGTAACTATCCCTTATCTCTGTAACCTTCATCAGACACAAGTGTTGCTACATGTGACCTCCTCTTTATTTTGTCCTTCCCTTCTAGATCACGGCTGTTTGCAATTTTTTTACTTATATCCGCTACATCCAGCAGGGCCTGGTGAGACATGATGGTAAGTTAACACTAAAGTGAATTTAATATATTGTTTAATGTAGTTAGTAAGAGTCTGTTTTTATACTTAGATTCTTACTAGGCCAACAGTGGTTGGTATTAATGCATTATATTTTCTTTGTTTTATACGATATCTTTCTCAATATATTGTGCTTTTTAAGAATAGTTGTTACATTACATTAGGCTACACACTCCATGCTATTTTTACCGATACATTTAGCTTAATAGTTTTAGCTGAGTTCACATGTATCACAGCGATTGTCTGACAGAAAGAAATAAGATCAAATACTCACCCTTAACATGCACTTAGCATTACCACCTTAAATACATCAATGTTATAAATTGCATTTAATGAAGTTACTCACGACTTGAGACGTTTTTATGAGATACTTTTGTACTTGAGTCAACATAATCATAAAGTAACAATCCCTTATCTTGACTGTTGTTTTTGTCCATGCTTTCCACCACTGTTTGCAAACCGAGTTTCTTCAGGCAGCTGACATGTTGTATCTTTTGTCCTCTCTTTGCCTCGGTCCAGCGGAGCAGATGTTCTGGGAGGTGATGCGTCTCCGCAGAGAGATGACCGTGGCTAAGTTAGGTTTCTACCTCACTGACCAGGGCTAGAGACCCTGATCATCTTTAAGATCAGGGTTAAACTGTGGTAACAATCAGGTCTTTAGCTTGTGTAGCAGAGGTTGTACAGCATCAGTGCTGCAGCAGGCGTCCACCAACAAGGGAAGCAGAGAAAGTTCATGTGCCTCTTTTATTCAATATTACAAAGAGTTAAACCAGCGCAGCAAGAAGGAAACATGACATTAAAAAAAGCATTATTCCCAGATATGTAAAATATATTTCTGTTATACTGCAGGCCTCCAGTCATTCTCCCCGGTGGAGTAAACTTCTCATGTTGATCCTAATAGACTTTATGTATCATGTAAAGATGAGCACAACGCATGACAGCAGTGTAGAGAGTTTAGTTGGTCTCTTACCTCAAGTATTACATATTTGTATGTAACTATGTAATGTTATAGTTCTACTGTGAGATAAGCAACATCTATGTGGTTTTTTCACAACAAGTATTTTTACATAAATATAATTCACACTAGTTCTCGGCTATCGGCTCAAACACAACAGACTTTCTCTCAGCATGGCCTTACATGTGTTGATGCCCTCCTGCACTACCTGTCCTCGATGCCTTTCAAATTCACACAATAGAAACAGCTTCATGTCAGCCTGACCTGCACTTCATTATAGAAAAATTGTTAATGATTTAGTTATGACAACCCCACGCTCAAAATGGTGACAGTTTCACAATGTAGTCCGAAAATGAACAAGCTTTAATACAAGTGATTGCAATATGAAATGTTTTTCATGCAATGAAGAGGATGTAAAGATAATTAAAAGCCATACATAACATTGCATGAATGCAGTACGTAGCCATATTATACAATGTATATTGGTTGTGCTTTACAGTATAGACTAGTTATTATAAATGAACAATTTTAAAATAATGAATATTGTTTCAGAAAGTGCAATAATAACTGCTTCTTAGCCTTTTTTAGGCTTGTAAGGCGCCTAACCTCAGTGTACTGATAATCAAAACACTCCATTAAAGACTCACTACATCTCCTTTGTACTGTGTGTGATTTATAGGTCTCGCTTGAATCAAATCTGATAGCAGATAAATGACACAGCTGGTTTGTCTCTTTGCGATGTTTAGTGTGGGAACGTCACAGGGTTTCATTTGATCAGAACCAGATGACACAGAAACATTTGTATAATTTGTCAAATTGTAGGTTATAAAAATCAAGTGGCTGATATTCAGAGAAAAGACTTCTTGTTTGCATTTGAGATGAAACTGAACCAGCCAATGTGTTACCTTGACACAACAAATTCTTTAGACTTTATTTTAAGGTTTGAGAATTTCTTGTAAAATGTTCCACTTTTAATATCTAATCATATCTGAGTTTTTATGGCTGGAGGTATTTATGTTTTCTTGTCTGTTCGTCTAAGACTCATTTAAGGAATGCCTTGAGGACATTTCTTCAAATTTGGAGGTCACTGTGACCTCACAAAACATCTTTGTGGCCATAACTCAAGAAATCGTAAAATAATTGTAATTCTAGTTTTTCATGCATTTAGTTTTAGAGGTTTTTCTCTAAATATAGCCCCCTGCCCCAGCTCAGAGTGGCCATAAACTGCCATCTATACTTCCTTAAGGGCATGGCGCTGATCTGTCTTTCGATTAAGGTCGTGGGCAGGAACAGCCGGGTAACCCCCGGTAATAAACGCTCTGAAACACCGTTATTCAACAGATTTGTAAGCAGGATTCAGGCACAGGGAGCTGCTCAGAGGGGCTTTGGGGTAGGAAAATCGGTTTTTGGAGCTGACATTCCTGTAAGATTTCAGCATCCGGATTTAAAAGGTCTTTGGTAAGCTTGTTATTCTGTTTTCATGACCTAATCACACAGATTACAACCTTAATGAATAAGTAGTTTGACTTGCAGTAAATAAATGAGTACAATCTGTTGTAAAATGATTATCACACCTTATATGGTTATTATAAATTAAAACGAGAAAACATTCTACCTCTACACAGATCAATATACACTGTTTGCAACTTGAAATAATGAATACTGTAAGTTACTTTTTATATAACATACTGATAGAGAACGAACATACATTTACCAAACTCTTTTTTTAACTTTTCCCCTGGCAACATCCAGCATTGACCAACTCTTCTTTCTTGGGGAAATATCTAGAAGAAAGAGATTTAGTTATTCATTTTTCACTTTAAAACTTCCTTTGTATTATTTTGTTTCAGGGACAAATAAACAATGTATAATACGTTTATTTCACTTTATATTTTTGAAATATGTATTTTTACACTTGCGTTAGTGCTGCACTTGATTACACATTTAGTATTTCCATTTAATGCTACTCTATACTTCTACATTTGTCTTAACAGCTTTAGTAACAAGTGTTGTTTTTGTTTACATCATCAAGAAAATACTTGTGTTAGATGTTGTGATTTACTGTGTTCAATAGAAACTTGTCTTTTCGTTTTCGTTTTTTTTTTACTTTAAAGGGGACCTATCATGCAAAATTCACCTTTGTACGTCTTTTATACATGAATATGTGTTCCCGGTGTGTCAGGGAACTCACCAAGTGTCAGAAAACACAACCTTCTCTCTTTTCCTCCGTACCCAAATCTCTAAAAAAGGGGCTGCAACGGATCTGATACACAGACTGATCCAGATTTTAAATATCTCTGACGTCAGAAACGAGGAGCTCCGCCTATATGGGCAACTCTCCACCAATCAGGGGAATGAGAGGTTGCCATGGCATGGTAACAGCATGGTAACATGACGCTCGTGCCTCGCCTCCCTCCTTTGCAGGGGGGCGTGGTCAGCTGCAGCTCATTTGCCACAGAATCAGCCCTTGCAAAAACAGGGCTGGAATAGAGCAAATAGAGCGAAATGAGGCATGGCTAAAATGCATGATCTGTTTGGTATTTTGAAAAAAAAACTTCACAGACATGTTTTATATAAGTATGGCCCTACAATGTATGTTTCAAATATAGCATGATAGGTCCACTTTAAGATTAGATTTTCTGTTTCACAGGGATTTAGTTACTGTTAAGTGTTTCTACACTTGGATTTGGGAATATGTAGGCTGTCCTATTTGTATAAAATCTGGAGCCATAACATTGATTTGTATCTTACCTTTGATAAAAGATCATGATGACTATCAGTGCGGCCACACTACCGATCACCACTATCACTGCAGCGACGACAGAGACGACCGACAGCGAGGAAGGGTCTGGATCAGAGCACACAAACATGAAGGGACATTAAGAAGATGGTAAATAAAATATGCTTTTATGTTGTGCATGTCAAATCAACAATTTAAGTATGGAGGGATTTGTCACTTCATATGGAACAGGCAGACAATGAGCTTGAAAGAAGAGCATAATGAAGTGATCTGAACCAACCTGAGCAGATAAAGGAGCCTGGCGTGTTGAGACACTCCAAGTGTTGTGGGCAGACAGAAGTTTGCTCTTCACATTCGTTCATATCTGCAACAATCAGGAAGAAACACTTTAATCAGTGTTGGCTGCTTTTTCTCTTTAATGGCCAGTTATTCACAATTATTGCTAATTGAATGGACCTTAACGGTAGGTTGTTTTACTGATTTTGCTGTGGTTTTCAAGATCTAAAATGTAGTGAAAAGTTGTGGTTCACATCTGAATCTTGACAACACCCTCAAACTATTTTGTTAGATATGATTTGGAACAAATAAACCAGCCCAATCCCAATCTCTCGCCTAACATATTTATAGGTCACCAGTTCAGTCTCGGTACCTTGACATGTTGGGGGTGTGGGGCTCCACTGCTGGCTGTTTGGGTCACAGCTGATGGATGAAGATCCCAGCAGCTTGAAGCCAGAGTGACACTGAAACAGAATCACAGAGCCACAGAGAAGAGAGTAGCCAGACTGAATCCTGGGTATGGGACCACAGCTTGGATCTGAAAGAGAGAGGAAAGATCCATGTAAAAAAACAACAACAACACAAACCTGACACAACACTGTTATATTTTCCTCTTCCTCACCTGTGTCTGGTTCTTTCCACGGGCTGAGGTCGAGGTGGGTGATGAGCGGGTGAGAACAGGGCAGCATGTCCTCTGGCCTCTCGGTGCGTGAGAAGGGGTCAACGGGGACGTGATTGATGCGGCTGTTGTCACATATGATGCGGGACAGAGAGACGGCGTGGAGGTGTCTCCTCTGGGAGCTGCTGAACACTCCCTCCACCTCCCACCAGAACCTAGGGAGAGAAAAGACCGTTTCAGGTTTCTCTTTTTGCATCAAAATCAGAGGTGCAACACTTACTGTAGTTAATCAACAATAAGAAAATGTTAATATCAATTGAATTGTTAAAGTATTTTGTCATGCAAAAATGGCACAAATGCTGTTTTCAGCCTGTTATATGTGGAGATGTTTCTGTTTGTATCTGTTAGTTATTATATTTAAGTTCATATCTTTGGGCTTTGGATTAAGAAAACCAGACATCTAAAGAGATCAACTTGGATTTGGAGAACCTGGGATGGATATTTTGACGTGTTCTTGTCTTGTAAACATTGACTAATTAGGCTACAAAGTAATTGTAAGATGCAGCCCTAATTTGAATGGTAAGTAGTTGGTTTCACCTGTCCCCGTCCCTCAGCGCTCTGAACTGTCTCGCCAGCAGGCAGGACAGCAGCGGTCCGACTCTTCCTCCGGGCAGAGCGGGCTCAGAGATCGCCCCCACCCACATATCAATGTTCTGCGGCGTTCCATACAGGAGCTGCAGTTTGTGAGCCAACGTGAAGTTTCCCAGGAGTTCTGCCAGGTCTGATGTGGTGTTGGGAACAGAGAGGCTGCAGGACTTCCTCCACGAGCCGTATCCTGGTGGGACAGGAAGTGAGGGGAGAGCTTTAAGTACAGGGGTTCAGGCTGTGACTAAGACCACCTGGACTAAAAGTCAGAATAACTTAATAAACTTCAGATATTAACTTTTGGGGCTAAAGACTAAACATTGTTCTATAGCAAAGAGCATATATTTAAAAGGACGGTTTACTCAAAGATTTAAAAAATACAGAATATTTCCTCTTCCTTTTGATTTATTTATCAATCTAGATTTTTTGGGTGTGAGTTGCCTAATGCAAATGTCTGCTTTTACTCCAATATAATTAGACTAGATAATAATCTAATTAAAGGGCAATTTAAAAAAAAAAGCCGGTGCTCAAAGCATCAAAAGAATACAAATTAATAAAAAATCAACCACAATATATCTTTCAGGATATCATGGATATCAAGACCTTGTTGTGAGCAGTTTCATGTAGGAACTCCTTTCTCTCTACCGAACTACACCCTTTGTTGAAATGTCTCTTAACCAGTCAGCAGGTGACATCGGTATGTTACAGTAACACTATACTGTGGCTGAAGTCATAAAGCTGGTACCAGGCAGGCCGTGATCCCGGCCCCTCTGCAGGTTAAGGGCCCCGAGGTCCAGAGGCATCCCCCCCTGAGCCTGAAACAGTCTCTCCGTCAGCTCCTCCACCATCATCTGCCCGGGGGTCTGCAGCTTGGCCGGAGACAGCAACAGACCACGCAGCACAGGGTCTATACCACCTGACACCAGGAGAAAAGATAGAAACAGACATAGTTAGTAAATTGTTTTTGGAGTTTAATAATAATAATAATAATACATGAGACTTATATAGCGCTTTACTAAAAACTCAAAGACGCTTTGACAGAGAATAAAAACAAGAGATATACAAAAACAGCTTTTTTGTATGACAGCTTTGTATTTTTACCTTCCTGCACGACTCTCCAAGAGGCAAACAGTGAATGATGCAGTGGCAGCGGAGGATGCTTGGAGTTAGGGGTGTATCCCGGACCCAGCCTGGTCACCACTGGATGCACGGTGACGTGGGCAAAACGGAAAGCGGCAGCAGCGAAGGCGTTAGCGATGCTGGGATCCACCTCGGGGTCGTAACCCTCGTAGGGAGGCATCAGGCGAGACATGGTGCTCTCACCGAGGACCCGCGGGAGATAGTGCTCCCATGTGAGGATCTGGGAGAGAAAGGAAGTAGGTCAGAGGACTGGAAAATCCTGTAGTCTGAGGGGACTCGGTGGAGGTGGCTACCTGTTGGATGGCTCCCATGATCTTGCGGGCCTCCTGGTAGAGTGTGTCCGGGCTCCAGTGAGGGTTGAGCAGGTACAGCTCTCTGACCAGCCGGTTGTGCTCTCTCAGAAAGAGTGTGTGCAGAGCGATCATACCCAGGTGCTCATTCGCTCTGGAATCACCTGTGAAACATTCATCATAAACAACAGCTCCAGTGAAGCCAGCAGAGAACAGATTGCTCACTACTCAGTGGTCAAATGTAACAGTACGTTTACTCTAGTGGCTTATTTTCAATAGCTTCCATTTCATATGACCTAATGACTCCAAATCAATGCAGAACAATATTAATACACTTGACAACCTGCTTTTAATTGATTTTAGTCCACGTTTTATATCATATATATATATATACTTTTATATACTATAGTTTATTTTTACTTGCTTTCCATGTCATGTGACCCAGTGACTCCAAATCCATACAGTATATTATTACCTAATTTAACAAAAATGTTTTATATAAATATTTTAAATAATAAAAAAATCTTGCCTTTAGGTACGTTTCCAGTGTTCTTCTAATAAAATGTGTACAATTAAGTCATGACACATCAGTTATCAAAAAGATTGGTCAAATAAGACAAATTAATGATACACTTTCTAGCTAAACTTTTGATAACATGAGCAAGTTATCACAGAGGATATTTAAAATAATAACATTGGTTTTGTGTTATTTAAACGGTAATTTATCGATGGCCCCTAATTCAACCCAGTGGTTAAGAGTGAGGGCTTGGATGTGAGCTCACCATCTTCTGACTGCGCACAGTCTGTAAAACTGAGAAAGAAAGAATCTAAAACTAACTTCACCTCGGGTAAATTCACTCGCTCACCAGCTTGAAAGCAGGATGTGGTGTTCCCCTGGTGGCTGGATCTGTCCGATGCCCGAGAGCTGGAGGAGTTTCGGGGGCCGCAGGGGTCCAGATGAGCCTGCAGGCGCGGCAGGAAAGGCATGTAGGCCAGGTCCTGGTCTGAGTGCTGGGAGTTGAGGGTCATGGAGCCCAGACGACAGGAGCTGTTCCTCAGGGCCGAGGCTAGGCTGCTGGAGCTGCCGTACACCATGCTGGCGTCCACGAAGGAGGTGATGGCGTTGAGCTGCTCTCGGTGGCGGTAAGACGGGACACAGCTGGGAGCAGAGCGGAAGAAGGGCATGCAACTCTGGACCCCGTTGCGAGGGTCTGACAGAGGGATCTGAGGAGAGAGGTTAACATTTGTTATAGTTTATGAGGGGGAATCTAAAATGATTTTAAACCAAAGAAATATTCCTTTCATAGTAATGTAGAGTACTTGCAACCTCCGCTAAAGAGCATGTGTTCCTGGTTTGGTTAGTGTGTTTGTCAGCAGGATTACAGAAAAGGTACAGGCCCATATTTCATGGAAATTGGTGGAAGGGTTGGGCATGGGCCAATGAAGAACCAATGCAACAAATGTAAGTTGTTTATTATTGTAAAGCACCTTCATTTGCACTTCGCTCCTATTTTAATTTTTTACTTTTAAGCAATTCATTGAATTTTTTCGTATCGGCATCCTTTTAGTATTTATATTGTACGTATACTTTGTATTGTATACGAGGAACATTGCAATAATTTAAATACTTATTTCAGTATGTCTACCGAGAATATTAGGCACACACATTTCTGTCAAGATCAATAAAAGTAATATTTTAAAATTAAAGACACTTTAGGCACATTGAAATAAATTAAATACTTACTGTATCTCAGTATGTGTATAAACGATATTACGCACAAATATTTCTATTAAAGTTCTATCTTACAAATACAATTAAAGATGTGTGACCATCAAGCCAAAGAACAAGAACACTAAGCAGCAGCTGTTAGGAGGGGCACCTGTATGGGGAAGCAGGGTGCGTCCCGGCTGCAGGTGCGTGTGCAGTCCGCTCCGGTCCTGAAGGCGGCAGTGCTGGGGCTTTGAGGGGTCAGCACCACGTCGTGGTCGATCCACTGACCCCACTCCACCAGCAGGTGGGACAGGGCAGAGTCCAGAGAGATGTTGTCGTTGTGAGTGAACAGAACCTCCTGAGACACCCTCCGCACCTGAAACAGAGACAGGAGTCAGAGCGGCTAACGGACAGAGGACGGCTGAGAGCAGCTGCAGGACTCTTACTGGAGGCAGAGTGGCGTTATTGTAGGTGTGCTGAGGGTCCCAGCCTCTGGGCACCCCCCACACATCCTCATACTCTGCAGGCAGCCAGCGGGAATATGGGATGTTTGCAGCCCCCCATCTGGGATTCTGTCTAAACAAGAACACGACAAACACAAAGTCAGTGATGGAAGAAGTATTCAGTACTGCACTGTGAGAATACTCCAATACAAGTAACATTCCTGCCCTCCAAACATTTCCTAAGTAGAAAATAGTATTATCACCATAGATCAAAAACACTTGAAAGTACAGTCTTCATTGTGCAGTACCATATTTCCTCTTTGTGTTTAAAAATGAAACATAATGATTTTGGATAGTTCAATGCACAGGGATGCATCTTTTTTCTTTTGATCGCCATTTGTTTGGTAGTGTTGATGCCCTGCTCCAAACACCATGGTAAACTGCTATGGTTTATTTATTTTTTGGAATCCTGAAACTCTTTAGAAGACTTTTGGAAAACTCAATCCTTATCCAGACATAGACCTTGCTAAAAATCATATTCCATACTTTCCCACAGTATTTAAAACCTCTAAGCGGTACTTTTTACTTTCCTTGAGAATTTACGCTTTATGCTACCTTTTGATTCTACTCTACTAAATGTTGAGAAAGTTAGATATTAGGTTCCTAGTTATTTTTGCAGATTTAGAAACATAGCAACCTATTCATGACAGCACTGCTCTGTGACTATATGTATTTCTTAAGCACTGACCTGTTGTTGCACTCTCCCGTGACGGACCTGTAGCGCTCGGACAGACAGTTGGACTCACAGCTGGGTCTCTGCAGCTCAGTGGAGCAGCCGGTCACCAGCAGCAGCTCCTCCATGTCCATGTCACTCAGAAGCTCTTTGGGAACACACAGCAAACACAACGCCCATGTCATAGACAGAATAACTTCAATATTTAAAAGGAATATCAAAAAAGAAGCTGGTTTGAACTTGTTTGGAGTGGTTGATCAGATCATTTACCTTTGCCTTATTGACCTGAGTGAGAAATACAGTAAGTAGATCCTCGATACAAACAAATACTGGCCTACATTTACACAAACTGGGGGCACTAAGGAACAAATTACCTCAACATCTATTCAAATAGTCAGAGATATTTCTACGTGTAGTGTTGCTGCTCGATACCCTTTGGGTCGGGCTGCACCATGGTGTGGGTGTACACCATCTCTCTGATCAGCTCCACCGTGTTGTCCAACAGCTCGGCCGCTCGGATCTGAGTCCTGGTTCTGGCTTCAGTCTGTTTGAACTGGGCCAGCAGGTCACTGGGTCTCAGAGCGCCTTCAGACAGAGACTTCTTCACCCTGGAAAAAATGTTTATACTTGATATTGCTGCCAACGCAATGACTTATAACCATAACATGAGATTTTTCCTAGGAAGTATTCAGATCCTTTACTGAGTTAAAAATACTAATATCACAATGTGAAATTAATCCATCATAAGTTAAGTCCCGCAGTCAAACTTTACATAGGTAATAGTATGTAAGTATTATCAGTATTTATAGTAGGACACATATTGCAGAAATATGTTCCCTGTCAGTTTTTACTATTTTACATGTTGTTTTTTAATTTATATTACTGCTGTATCAATGTGTATTCTGATTTGCCCTGCTGTAGATGTTTAGGTTTGAGCTAATTTAACTCCTTAAAATACAGCCCTGTTTTCACCTTTGTGACGATGCATTTAACAGTATTCGCCCCTTAGCTGTAGTGGAATTAGAATATTAAGTAGCATTAAAAGTAAATACAAAAGTAAAGTATTTTGATTGTGTCCAAAGAGTCATTTTTACCTTTCACTTGTGCGGGCGTAAGCAGCATCAGTCAGCTCGATGGCCCTCTGAAGAGCCTCCTTCACAAAGACAGATCCTGGATACACAGATCCTGACGCACCACAGAGGAAAACAAAGATTCCGTTAGAAAAAGCTCCTTAATATATTTGTGGACGCATCAGAAACAATCGAGCAGAAATCCTACCTGAGGTGTTGTCAAACACTCTACTCAGTGAAGCACGCTCAGGGAAGGAGAGCAGGACAAGAGCCAGTCCAAGCAGAGAGACAGACACCTGAAACCAAAACGCAACTGACTGAATAACTCGAGAAACATCCTTTTTTGTTTAATAAAATTAAGAAGGAAATACAAATTAACTTACCATGAGTGCTGCCTCCATCTAAAACTGTTCGATCAGTGCAGAAGAGCTTCAAGAAATTAACCACTGCGCTGATTGTGACTCATATTGAGAGCCAACATTTGTGTGTGTGTGTGTGTGTGTGTGTGTGTGTGTGTTTGGGGGCTTCGAGGATGCCCTTTATACACTGGCAGCGGGGCCAACAGGTATGTGCAGAATCCCCTTATCTGTCCTCCTGGTGACAGGAAGGCAACATCAAACACTCGACTCACTGCCTCTACCTCATAACATTCAAATCAAATGTACTTCTCTCGGCCTGATGAAAACCTCTTGTCATTATTTGGTTCATTTCAATCAAATTACACAATTCTACCCATCCCTCGAGAGAATACATCGCTGTAGCAGAGGACACAAACAAAATCTGGCGGTGGAAATATTGAATGTTGAATCAAACTTAGGAGCACATTGTAAAGACTAAATTGTTATTATGAAGCAGCAACACATTTAAATGTCACAATGACATTCAGTACATTTTTGTATGGATTATTTTCCTTGCAATCTGATCGTCCCTGTGCCAGTGACACAGGACAGGTGGGTGAGCATCAGTGGTGGAATTTAACCAAGTACATTTACTCAAGTAACTCAAGTTTACTCTTCTTTATTTCAGGGCTAATATTGTACTTGTTATTGCATTACATTTATTTCATTGGATTAGTTACTATAGACTCTAGAGATTAACACTGTGACATATAGAAGGTATGAAAAGCTTCTTTACTATGACAGTGTTGTAAAAAGAACACTACTTTACCTGACCCTGTATACAATACTCGTGTTGGATGGTCTTCCCTGACCACGCGTAGACTGAAACATTGGCACATCCTTATATATAAGGCTATTCTTGGTGCTCTTCCCCCTTATCTAAGTATGTACATAAATTAAAAATGCACTGGATCCTATCGGCTTCGCTCAGAGAACTTTTTCCTTTTAACTGTACCAAAGGTCCGTACTGAACTTGGGAAAAGGGCGTTCAGTTACACTGCCCCTCAAGCTTGGAACCTGCTTCAAACTGAGCTGAAACTCAGAGAGCTGGTCTCATTAGAAACACTCAAAGCAACTTTAACTGACCTCGAAGCAGGCCGCTGTGTCTGTAAATGCTTTGGCTAAACTTGGTGTATGACTGCGTTGTGATTGTGTGTTTTTAATTGTTTGTAACTGTAAAACTGTCTGAAACTGTGCTGTTACCATTCTTGGCCCAGGACTCTCTTGAAAAATAGATTTTTAATCTCAATGAGACCTATCCTGTTTAAATAAAGGTAAAATAAAATAAAATAAATAATACAAGATGAGCTCATTAATTCATTAGTTTTTTTTAAATAAATTGAATGCCAGCTTCTATTCTCAAAAGTGAGGATTTAACGCTTTTCCTGGGGTAGGTAATTTTGGAGAAACCAGCTGGAGTGCGCTAGAATTTGAAAATACACAGCCGGAGAAAATCTGCCACTTCCTTACAGAGCCCCTCCTCCACACACATTAAACGCGCACATGACCCAATGAGGGCACAGATAGATAAGTTTGTGCACAGGATGGAGGCCAGTTATTTAGTCGGGCCGCTAAAATGAATTGGTCTGGTTTTACAGTACTACGGCTTCCACAGATGAATTTTTTGTATGGATTTTGTTCATCCATTCTCTCTAGGGCTCTGGATTTGTGCTCAAAGCACTTAAATATTCATTGCATCTGGATGTTAAGAGCTCCATGGAATCTAACAAAAAGTGTATCTCGACCGGAGGAGCGGTCCGTATCTGCCGGAAGCTTTAATTTTGCATCACTGAGAATATAGAGACCTTTCTGGTACACAGTTTGGCAGACACTACCCAGTATCGGCTCGTCTGTAAACGGATGGTGAATGGGATCAGGAAGAGGGAAACTGTTTTATTTTAAAATATAAGAGCTAGATAGCTAGAAAAGAGAGGGTGTATATCAACAAGCAACTGAAATTAGAATCATAAAACAATTGAAAGGCCAAGAATTGAACTCCATAACATGAAACTTCTTAAGAGATCGGATTTAGAACTGTGCGTGCGCAAGACAACAGAGTATCTAGTGGCACACTGAACTTCTAAACAAAGATTCTAATAAGCACATCTAATATTGTAGTGAAAAAGGTGATCGCCGTGACCCGTTGACTTTACTTCTGTCTTCGTGCTATTCCAGCTAGACCTACATCCGTGCGAGATAGATGCCTCATGTGACCCGTCATAGATAGACAGTTGGGGGAGTACCCGGGCAGGTCTTGAGGGTCCGTGCTGTAAAATCGCCTGTTTTTTTTTTTTTTTTTTTCGTGCTCTGAGGGGTGACGAATATGTGAGGAGCGCGCCGCCCGTCAGGGCCTCCAGGGATGCTAGAATGAGAGACGAGAGTAGGGAAAGTTTACTTGTGTTAAAGTCTCTCACATTGCAAAATGCACTTTTTTAAGTCTTCTCACATCACTGTTCCCCGGTGTCCTACCGGGTATTAGTGTTCTACAGGAGATAATACATCTAGTGATCAGGGGTAACATAAAAGCCACCGTCGTCGTCTATCCTTCCGTTATTCCTCCCATTCTCTAAAAACGGTTGATTACTGGTGAAACAAGTGAATACTGAGTCCATTGTTTCGCTGATCATGGACACTAAAATTAACTGTATAATGTCGGGAGGGTGCCTTTATACACCACGGTGTCCAATCTTGACTTTGCTGTAGAATCAAGTGAGACGTGTTCTCGAGCAGTACATAAGGGTCGATATTGTGTTACTATTAGCCAGATGAACGTGAACATCTGTAGAGCCTATATGAGTGCGCGTGCTTGTCCGTTATGCTGTGAGGAAGGGACAGGAGGAGACAATTACATCTAAATATTCTCATTCTGTGTTGACAGGTATGGACATCATTCTATATACCGCATGTCTTCAGACCGAGTCTTACGTGTCAGACGGTATTGGGCAGTGCCATTGTCTGAGGGAATAACATCGCGCAATAACAGAACTGATGCGAATGCAAAGGAGCAACGTGTTGATGAAAGAATGTCTATATGACATAATGACATTACATTATTTAGTAAACATTATCAGTCCCTGACAGTAAGTCAGATATCATTTGTCTGAAATTATCTTCTATGACATGATGCTCTCTCTCCGTGTCTTTAGTTTAACGCTGACTGCCATAATCAGCACTTTAGAAAGCTGAAAGGAGTGGTTAGGGGTGAGCTGGATGTGTTGGCTCTGACTTCTGCAGAACCCACATTCAGAGACATGATATCTCGTGGTTGTTGTATCCAGAATGGACAAGCCGTTCAAATCATAATGCCTAAAATAGTATACAGGAGACTCTACATCATGCTGACAGACTCTACCAGTACGGCGTGCGACACCCCGCGCTTCTCCGCAGTCAGTCTGTTGCCTGATGTTATCAATATGTAATAATAAAGCATAGGCCTGGTCTCGCTCTTGTCTCTACTGGTTGTCGCTCGCGCGCATCCTCTCCAGGTCTAGAAGACCTCTTAGTCGTGGTGTTGATCGCCTCTCCATGCTGCTGAGAGGTCCTTGGATAGACTGTATCGGGAGTTACCACTATCGGGTTCATGGGTGTAGAGAAATTAGAGATCAGCCAGGCCATACTGAGGCCATTGGAGGCACACCCTGACTGACATCACACAACCACAAGACTACTAGATGCACCACACACACACACACCACACAACACGCTACCAACACACATCCTACGAAACATGACATACAGCCAACACAACACACACACTACACTTCGACCACACTTAATTTGTTAAATAACAGTGGTTGACTAAACCAGACGGGAATAGATGGATGACTAGATTAAGCTGTTACAAAGACAAAATAAACAACTTAACTCAGAATTTCTCTTGCAGGAGCTGCGCGTGTCAAAAACGATATTGGAGCTGTTTACGATAAGAACTCGAGAGGTTCTCGATCAGGATGTGCACCTCTTTATCGTCCAGCTGAGGCGATCACATGTGCAATTCAGTGACATTAATTAATAACCTATACGTCTGATCTTGTACCAATATAGATCTCATATATATATAGCATATAGTGAACGTGATCACTCAATAATTCAAACTAGGGTTAATCAAACATATATAGAGATCTCCTCAAAGTATATAGATGAACCAGAAACCAGATCGAATTCATGAATATACAAATCCGTCTTTTAGAGTAATGAGTTGCAACTTGTTAATGCAATCGATACAACTCTACAATAACTCATACATTGCCTATGTGAAATCAGATGAGCGTTTGGGACTATAAAGCCGAAATGTGTAGACCAATCGAGTAGTAGACTCTGGATCATCCCTATCATATTGGAGCATTTTAGGAGGAGAATATATGCTTGATTACAGTTCCTCTTTTACGTTTTTTACACGCCACATCTTGAGAGCTATTGTCATCAATGGTAATAGACCTTTTGTTATATAATGTTCAAATTATATAAGTTTCTATATGAGTTTATTGTAATGTTTTTTGAGTTGTTTCGGGGGAATAGCAGTGATAATCATCAGATAAGAGAGAGAGATTCTGTATACAAGTATTTGTACATTGTGAAGAGCTAGTTAACTATGAGCAAAACTTGCACACTGGCAAACTCTAAATGCTTACAGAACTTTCGTGTTTGTGTGTTTATTGATATGTGACTCCTCTCTTGTGTGTACTGTTTCTGTGCGTGTCAGCATCTCTTAAGCTCGCCGGCCAAATATGTCAGACCTGATAGTTGAAAATACTACAAGGGGCTGAACTGATAGCAACTCATCAATAATTAGGTGGTCGCTCGCTTATAAACGATTATATTTACTTATAAATATAGAAAGACTGAGGAATCATAATTTTGACCGTTTCCTAATTTACTTTCAATCTGTATTCTATATATCATCCAAGCTAAGCCTACAGTACAGATCTTTTTACTAGGTATATCAGTATTCAATGTATTTGCATATGTACTCAACCATTGTTCAATCTAGCAACAAACTCGTC